ATATATGCATATTCTTATATGTTTCCGACCGTTTCCGACCGTTTTCATTTTTTCTGAATGATTAATTATTGGACCAATTCCATTTATGGAAGGCTGATCCAGTGCAAACCCGTGCAAACCATAACGCTTAAGTTTTTTCGTGCGACCCTTGTGCGTACACTGCACCAAATATTGCATCGTGACCTTGATATCCAATACTCCCTAAAAGTCACAAAATCCCAGGAGCTCGTGAAATTCAATATATTTGTATTTATAATATATATATATATTTATTTATTTTTGTATATATACATGGCCTATCGATCCTTTAGGTCTATATTTAGAGGTGTATATAATGGCAGCCAAGCGTTCATAGCGATGATCCTTCGACAAATATATTTGTAAATATATATATATATATATATTTACATATTATATATATATGTATATGTATTTACTTTTGTGCATATATACAAATATATATATATACATATATATATGCATATTTATATGTATATATATATGTGTGTGTATACATTTACATATACATACAGTAGATGGACAAATTATTCAAACCCCTATCCATGGGTTATAGGCCACCCCCTACCTCCCCCGAATTTCAATGTTATGGTTTCGTAGCGCTGTTCCTGCTCTCGGGGTTTGAATTTCGTCCATTCGAAGGAACGAACCAAACAAGAAAATAACATTGATATTTGGGGTGAGGGGGGTTGCTCTATGTATAAGGGTTTGAATACTTCGTCCATCTACGGTATGTATATATTTATATGTAGTTTAATAAGTATTTACACGCATAAATATTGCATGTTTTTGTTGATGTCTAGGTGGGCATCGTGCCACAAAACTTCATTTGCATCGTGCTGCCGTGCGCGGCCTTCCTGAAGCTGCATGGAGACTTGGGAGGTCGGGTTGGCCCAAAATTTGGTGATTTAATGGCGACTGGTCATCAAACATGGCAATGGAAATCCCCTATAAATGGAGGTTTGAATGGGATAATATATATATATATATATATATATTATATATATAATATATATATATATTATATATATGGGAATAACGTGTTTCACCTCCCCCACCCAGTGCTTTCAAGTATTTTATATGTGCACGTTTCAGAGATGTTGTGCACGTGTCAGAGATGTTGTGCACGTTTCCCAGCAGTTGTGCAAGTTTCACAGAAGTTGCGCTCTTTTCAAAGAAGCTGTGCACGTTTCACAAGCCCCTAATAATGTTCGTGTTCAACTGCATTGGGGCGACCAAACACGTTCTCCCGATATATGTATTAATATAATATATGTATACATAACTGGGGAATGTTAAAATGCCACGTTTGATTTCCAAAGGCTGGTACAAGGCTTACAGGCAAAGGATGTAAAAAGGGAATTATTTGTGGTTAGCAGAATGGTTCGTGCAACGGTTACTTCTATCAAATATGGGTGATATCAGGTTTGAGACTTTATATATTGGATGATTTGCCCAGATGAATGGGATGGCTCCAGGATTTCCCGCTCGCATTGTGTCGCCTCAAGTTGAAAGTGTGGAAATCCCCCAGCGGCAATTCCCTGAAACAGCTGATGAAGTCAAACCAAAGGATATCCAGTGATCTATCGCTTGCGTGTGTTTCTTTGAAATTCGTAGGGTTTCCCATTTGCAAGGACATGTGCTGTATATATTTTTGGCAAAGGGTTATTACTACTGAGCGTTTTTCTTCCTCTGTGAATATGAACTTGCTTGTTGCTTTCTACTATATATTTCTATTTATATTTCTATATATATATATATGAGTTTATCTGAAAATAGGGTACCTCTACATATGTAAATGAACTGGGTAATCATCATTCTCCTCTTTTGAAAATTCCCAGTTGGGGATAAACCTTCTTTTTTCAGACAGATCCATATCATTATCATAGTTTCCCTTGTTTAACCCAGTGATGGTTTAAAAAGCCTATAAATTTCTGTGACATTTCACATCATTTCACCATGGGAGGCTTTCGAAGTTGCATCCTTTGGTTGCTGATCGTCAGCTTCGCTATCTATGGCCTGGATGCAACTGTGGCTCTTGTGTTGGAGAATGTGCCATGGATTTGCTGAAAATCGGCAGTGAAAGTGAAGAAACATGTTTTCTTGAAGGGAACGTCTATAGGAAACCATTGTTTTATGGCTTTTAACTGTGTTTCAACCATGTTTTTGAACGGAACATGTATTGCTAACCATGGATTTTAGTCGTTTTTATTCCCAAATCATCCAAATCTCGAGAGGTTTCCTATGGTTTCCGATTTTCCCTTCAATACTGGGATTCTGTTCTTATGATGGTCAATCGAACTACTAGGAAATTAAGAAACTTGGAATATACCTGGCTTATTTCGCAGTTGGGAATCTATATTGGGAGTGCGTGTTTCTTTTTAGTGGCCCCCTTTGAACAGAGCAAAGGTGTCGAAGAAGCTGGAACTTGACGTCGCATAAGGTGAAGCAGTGACTAATTGAATACCTTGGCTCAACCGCGGTTCAACCGCAGCCCTGTTTGCTGATTTACTCAGCAACAAACTGGAATTAATGGTGGTGATTCTTAGTTGTGCCATTCCTAAGTGAGATGGTGATTTTGACCATCTTAAAACATTGCTGATGTGCAGCCGCTCTTGCGACTTTCATTCTTTTGATTTTGCCGCACTCTTGAAACCAGTGCCCCTTGGGGTAAACATAAGATCACCCATGGTGAAACCATGGGAACATGATCTACATTCACGGTGGGTTTTTGCACATTTGTGTTGGTTTACGGGAGTGTATGTATCAAGCATCATACCCCAACGGGTCCAGTGGCTTCCCTTGGTTCCCCTGTAAATCAAACGATTTTCCTTTGGAACCCAGCCGTCGAAGTGGATTTTATAGGGGAACCGAAGGCAGCGCAATTCGATATGCTTCCCAGCTCGGAGAGCGGGAAGCCAATTGGCTTCGCGCGGTCATGCAAAGATCGCCTAGGCCGGTTTGTGTCCAGTCTATGCATGGCAGCACGAAGCCTGGACTTCTCATGCTGAGGAATGGGAAAAGAATGTTTCCATTGCCATTTTGCTAAAATTTGGTAACATCTGTAAAGAAAACAAGTGACCCATCGCTTTCCAGCCTGTTCGCGCAACAAGGCCCTCTGAAGGGAGCTTGCGAGGGTTCCTCTCCCTAGTTTCAACAAGAGAACCCACGAAAAGCCTACAAACTGGGGTCCAAGATTAGCAGATTTCATGTGAATTTTACAGGTCAAAATGTGGGTCCATGATGCTGAGTGGGATATCTTCGCAGCCGTTTTGCATTTTCCAGACCGTTAAAATACGCCCGATTTTGTGTTGCCATTGCAACATCTTCCCCCGCTAGGAATCCAATCATGGAAGTCGTAGAGGGGTCAGCATCCTATGGCGGCTGTGACTATGATGCGATTGCGGCCCAGTATGATTCACTCCACAAGGACCCTGAAAGTCTACAGGGGGATCTAGCGATTGCGGGATTCTTGAGAGAGTTTCTTGGCAGATCTGGCAGGTGCGGGTACAAGAACAAACACATAAACTACAAATAACATCAAACAACTACATCCTTTAGGGCTATGTTAACATACGTTAACATTCACCATTAAACACTTAGCAGGCCCATGGGGCCCATGAGGTGATTTTTGGGTGAAATTTTGGGGTACCCAAACGACTTGCTCTGGGTCCCTGGATTTCATCGAATTTTTGACGAATCAGAGTAAGAAGTGCGTAGCCTGAACCATCCCAACTGGCGATAGTTATATATATATATCCTATGTATATGGTACATCCCCATTCTTTTAGGTAAAAGCATCATGTTTGATAGTTGAATCAGCTCAAATCCCCTATATTGTTTGGATAAATCATGATAAATCCAGATGAACTTGATGGTAACAGCTCCCTTTTGGTTGCTGCTTACCTCCAGGTACGTGGCTCCCGGTTGCAAAGTCCTAGACCTGGGCTGTGGCACTGGGCTATTGCTGGAGCTGCTAGCTCTGCAGCCGGAGGATTACCTCGGCATCGATCACTCCGAGAAGATGTTGGAGGAGTTGCAGAGCAAGTTTCCGGAGCATGAGACCAAGAAAAAGGCTGATTTTGGGATGTTGGGTGATGTTGGGGACAGTTTTTTCGGCTCATTTTTTTGTGGAACCCCCACAAAAATTGGAACAGATGTCAAAAGGATAAAAAACCGTAGTAAGTTAGATCACTGTAAATAGTTTAATTACTATTCCAAAATAGGATTTTGGAATTTTCTCCCAAGGAATGGGGCAGGACGATGTCAAAATTTCAGACTTATGGTTTTTTTTTTTTTGGTGTGTGTCGTTTCATACTAAATCCCTCCCATTGGGGAAGCTTCATTGGATTGGCTTTCAGGCCTTTGGAGCAGAAGATTTGGAGGACCTGGAGGGCCAATATCGTCCTAATTTGATAAGATTTTTGTCCCAACTTTTGGGGAATTTTTGTTCCAACTTAGGGACAATAATTCCCCAAACTTGGGGACAATAATTACCAAACCTAGGGACAATAATTACCCAAACTTGGACAAAATAGCTCTAAAGAAAACGTGGTAGAGCGCCATGCTAATCTATATCTATATCTATGACTATCTAGATGTAAACATGTAGTATCTGAGTACGTTAGCTTAATTTCTCATTCTACATTAGATATGACATGTTCAATGCTCATAAGTCTCAGAATTCTAAGATGTCTTTTGCGAGTTTCATGGGCCATTTTTTGGGCCAGATGAAACCCTTGAGGATGTTGATGTGGCAGTTTCATTATTCGGACCCATCAGCTACGTCGATCCAGACTTAGTCTTCCAGCTGGTCTCCAGCGGTGTGACCGAGCTCTATCTTGGGAGTTAAGGAAACTGCTGAGAGCTTCCCTCATGATATGTACAATGATGATACGGTGGATGGTTGCGAAATCCTGGATAGGTGGTAAACATCCCACTATTTATAGGGTTTCAACCATCCTTTTGGTGGTGCAGGATTTTGCAACCATCCACTGTATCACGTACACTATCGTACACTTGTACCAAAGATCATGATGTAAACCCACAGTCAGTCATTCTAAGATTGTTCTCAGGTTCTTGGGATTTACCCTCTGGTAAACTAACATGATGATAGAAAATCACCATGCTATTAATGGGAAAACTCACTATTTCTATGGCCATTTTCAATAGCTATTTTGACATAACCAGAGGGTAGGATCCCACTTCAACCTGCGGCCTTGGTGTTTGTAACCCCCTTTGATCTTTCTGCATCAGATCCAACTGTCGTACTTCTTGATGATCAAGCATTTTTTACGTAAATAGGTTGTTTGGATTTTCCTTGGGTTCTGCCCATAGCAAAGCTACTTTGCTGGGTCGGGAAACTTTGATACTCTTTGATCAAAAAAATGGCCTCCAATTGTGTGTAGATTCATTGTCCAGACAAAAATATTTGGGATGAGGACCCAGCTGACGAACTCATATTTTTTAGAGGGGTTGAAACCACCAACCAGTATATATATATATATATATCCATCATACCATCTCCGATCATAGTGCCGCTAAAGCTCTTACATGTTTCTTAGATGTTCTTATCCTCATCCCCCGAGAAATGCCTTTTATATAAACTAGTATCACATTTAACCGAACCCAACCAATCCCAATATCCTGCAGACATCCACATAAACTGGCGGGTTCAGTAGGGCGAAGAATTTTTTAAGAACTTTGATTCCTGATTTCTACCATGTTAAACCATGTTAAACCACAATGTTTTGGGTGAACAATCCACTGTATTTTCCTAGGTGAACTACTTCCTGATGTTTTACAAGGAAGACTACCGACCGGTGACCTATGACACGTGCCAAGTCCATCCCTATCCCTTCCAACGCAGCCTGACTAAGTCACCGTTCAGGGAGGGGACTTAACCATGGATTGCAGAGTCAGGATGGGAATATCATTGTGGTTCATAAAATGGTTCAATGGTATTTCAATGAATCATATCATCACGAGTGTGGATATGTCGGTGAATTTTATGATGGAAATGGTTATCGTGGTTATAAATTGGTTTAGAGAGAGGCCTACTTGTACCATTCAATTGGGTATCCCATGACCTTACTCAGCAGAATGGTTATCATGGTATACCATGGTTATATAGTGATATGATATAATCATTAAACACCAGACATGGTTAATACCATCGCATGATATTAACCATGCATTAGATGGATTGGTCATGGGGATATTGGAATATCATTTTTCAAATCTGGATCAATGAATGGTCCTGACCCCGCTGCGATGTCACTGGATGTAACTTAGTGAGGGGAATTGTCCCCAATTGGCCGAACTTGTCAGGTGAATTGTTCTGATTTATCCAGAAGGATGGGAATCATAAGGGCAACAATCCCATATCTTCCTGATGTTTTCAGGTTGTCGAATGATTATCGTACTTGCAAAGGTTGGTTGGAAAATCCACATGTTTATCAAAATATAGACCCCCGAAGATAGCGATGGAGAGAGATATACGATACGAGTGCTTAAACGAATAGACAAGAATTAGGATTCTAGAAACGTAGTTTTAACACAGGACATAGTCAGCTTGAAATCATGTAGGCATCGGACAGAAGAGCCTGTCCCTGTTTCGTTCCTATATAATACAAGCAAACCCAAGAATTTCAAACGGTTGTCAGAATTGCTTGAAGGTAAAATCTGCACCAACCCCTTTTTTTGATTGGACACAATTGGAAACAACAAATATATCAGTGAAGGACACTAAGAGCAATCATGAGGAATCCAAGTTTCTTCCAAGTGCAGCTTACATCCTTGAGGACGCATATATAGCCATTATTTGGGCGTCTCGCTATCTCCTGACAGGATACAATCTTCCAAGTCAAGACTTCGGCAGTTTTGCGGTGGTCACCAACCTCCGCACTCCAGATGGATCTTTGGCATTTCCCCGCCAGTCCTTGCGAAGAGCGGAGCGGGCCAAAACCGAGCCTTCCGGGGTCAAGTTCAAGCCGAGTGGTGGCGACTGGTGGTCAGTTTGAGTCTTTTTTCATGAGTTTTAAGTGAGTATTTGTCCAGCAGAAACAAATTGGGATACTAGTGGGATATTTGCACGTCTTAGATTTTTTCATGTAAATTTCCATAAGCTAATTAAAACATATTATGATTGAACGTTTAGCTTTATTGTTAACCAGAGGGTATAGGTTTTTTAAAACCTTTATCCATAGCGGGGGATCCGGGAAATGTAAGCAAGAATCGCCAGAGTACTATTTGTCAATGTTTTTTTATATTCCCACTAATCATATATATATATATAGACTCCTTTGATGTTTCTGTTGGTCCTGGCCATTATGAGGATAAATAAATACATGAATGAATGAATGAATGAATAAATAAATGAATGAATATACATATTTGATTTTCAACAGCAAATTATCACTATTTTAGTTGGAAGATGTTGTTTTTCTATGTTTGGGTCTCAAAAAACAGATGAACAGATGCACAAAGAAACGGATAAATTAATGTTCCATCCCCTCGCCACGGCAGGACTTTCCGCCGAACTTGAAAGCTACCCCTCGGACAGAGCCGTGCTGCTGAAGGGACACGGCAATGCGAAGGGTTCGTCCCTGGGGGAAACGATCGTGACCATGCTGAATGCCTATATGGGACCATTGGATTTCATGAAAAAACTTTTGCGATTTCATGAGGATTTTTACTGATGATTTTGGATGATTTGCGGATGATTTGCGGATGATTTGTTTTGTTTTCCTCTGATAAAGCAAAATAGAAACTGGAAACCGGGAAGATGGTGAAGATGGTCCATGTTTTGAAGCAAATCCCAGGATCTGGAATCTTGGTGCTTCCCTATGCCTGGAAACAAGCTGGCTGGCTCTTTGTGCTTCCTTTCCTCGCGGTGGCGATGATGATGAGCTTCACCCTGTGGCTCACGGGCTCCCTGGTTGGGAAACGGCGTGATGTGTGGAAATGGATGGGAAACGAATTGAAGCACAACAACAGCTAGACGGCTATTTCTAGAGTTGAACGGTCACAACATTTTTTCCGGTAGTTACAGACCATCATTGAATCACTTTAAACCCTAGACACTTTAAGAATCACCCAAAGCAATGTCATTTGTTCACCGTTTTTTCCTGCCAAGGCAGACAAACCATTTCTCAGGTACTCTCTTCCGCCTTGTGGACGCTCGAGCCAACGAGATGAATGTGCCAATGGTCAGCCGCGACTGGGGGATGTTGGGTCAGATGGCTTTCGGAAGGTGTGGCCAGCTGCTGTTCTCTGGTTGTGCCCTTGTGGATCTTTATGGCGGCTTGGTGTCAGTACTGATCTTGGCATCAAATCAACTGCAGCTTGGATGGTAGCAGAGTTTTTGGAGAGTTTGGCCATGGATGGGATGAGATGGTGGTTTCACATGGATTCTTATGGGTTTACGTGTGCAGTTTGCACATGACATTTTTTTAGAGTTTTCAAAGGTTCTTATCGCACATCCCCGAAAATTGGGATGATATCGAGCATGATCCCAATTGACGTTTTTTGTGACCGGCAGGCAATTTCTATTCCCTTCCCTGTCCACTGCAGTTCTCAGTGTTGGCTGCTTTGGAGTTCTCCTCATATTGCTCGTCGTGCAAACTAGGCGCGGTTCACCATCCAGCTAACATACACAGCCCAGACATCATTCTTTTTTTTTAGAGGAAGGTAGTCTTCCAACCCCAAGACATGGCAGGGTCTAGGTTGGGGGAATGGGACATTTTTTTGTTGGCAAAATCGATGTCATTTGATATTCTTGGATGGTGATGATGTCAGTCGTCACTGTTCAAGTTGTTGAGCCAGCCCATCCTGCTGCATGTCATTCAGTGGGTCGCAAATCCAATTTCTCCTTTGTATGTGACACACACACACACATCAATATATAAAGAAATGAATACATAATTTTAATAAATAAATATATATTTATATTTACATATGCATATGCAAATAATAAAATGTAATCGAATATGCTATAATGTAATTTTATATAATATATATATATATATGCACGTAAAGATATGTACCTAGTCATGTATCACCTGTCAGTCCATGTGGCAGTCTGTCACATTTTCCACATTGCAGGAACTTCTCTTCTTTAGCAGTCGTTGGTTTGGGTAGCTTGGCACTCGAAGCCGTGGAGGTTCAACATCTCCAGCTTGAAAACCGATCTCTTATCCAGGGCAGGATGAAAACACCAAGCATTGCTTAGGTTACATGTGTTTGCACCATGATTTACTGGGTTCATCATCTTGTCCCCATTCAAATTGTCATCAATACCCCCAAGCTGATGAAATATTTCTCTCTCCATAATTCTCGACATTGTTGGTTATATATCCCATTATATCTCGAAATAGTTTAAGCAATAGAGCACAGGTGTTATGAAGATTTTTTTGTTGGTTCTGATTCGCAGTAACGCCAGGATTCATAGACATTCTATGCGCCATATTGCTATGTGTTTTGTTACTAATTGTTTCACACATCTGTGTGTTTTAAGCAGCCGAGACAACACCGATCATCTCCAATGGCTGGTGCTCTCCGAATTGGAGGTGGCTCAATGATGAACATATTTGGATGAAGCTATTTATGACCAGCTATGGGATATATATGTAAATAAATAAATAAATAAATATATATATATGGGTAAATTTCATCACGACCTCACTTCTCCCGAACCCTGGAATCATGGTTTTTAAAGAGGAATCATCCCAAAAGGGCCGCAAGTTTCAGGTAAGTGAATTATTTTCATTTGCCCGCGCAAACATATATATATATATACTTGAATATTGTGGGGTAAACACACCACATATTCATGAGTAAACCCTGCCTTTCCAGTCCAGGGTCAATACGCTGACTTTTGGCTCAAGATGAAAAAGGCCGCTGCCGTTGCGCTCCGCGCGCTAGTTGGTCTTTGCAATTACTTTTGGGGTTTCGTGTTAAACATCAACCGTTCAATTTATAT